AATGGCCATTATTCCTCTTCCTTGTGGCTCTTAAAATGTTTATTTTTTCAAGAAGCTTCACTCCGCTTACAATTTATATCAAATGCCCTTTCTCATCCTACTGTGGAACTAATGAATTTTCAAAGAATGATACGAGATTACTCTAAGCTTTCTGCAATTTTTTTTTACTTTTGTTATTCTCAATTTCTATCATCAAGAGGAGCTGCACTTTATGATAAGATCTTTATACCATATTACTTTCTTAGTTCAGTTTTGCCATTAAGCCTCTGCTGCTGCTACTAATAGTAATAAGAATAACAATAACAATAAATAATAAAAATAATAATAATAATAATAAAGATAATATTAATAATAATATAATAATAATTTAATAATAATAATATAATAATATTAATAATAATAAAATAATAAATATAAACCAAATAAATAACAGAAACAATGATAACAATGATACTAATAATAATGATCACTGAAGATTATGAAGACAATACCTCAACAGGAAACGTTAGCTGGCTCTGTACTGCTGAGACTAATACATCTTCACTGACAACTTGTTTTGACTTCATGACCTTGACAATGGCTACATCCACTTGCTGCTGGTACTGTTGGGATGTATGCTCCTCTAGCTGCTGCTGCTCATCATCCTGGGAAATTGGAAATGGTTAAAGGTTAATGGTTGAAACAAAAAAATATGCTAGATATCAAAAGTCATTTAGCACTATGGTTAAGAGCTGTGGCAAAAATGGTAAAGAAGGGTTAAAGATTAGGTGTCACAGATTAGGAAGCATTATAGGATAGTTATAGGATCAAATGAAGTAAAGCAGAGATTAGTAGAAAAAACGGAAACGGTTCAGGGGTTAGGGCAACTGGACATTGGGACATTGTTCACGGAAAATAGAGATGGCTGTTGGAAAAGTAGGAGGAGAAGAATCCGAGGGCTGAGAAAAGGGGATTGGAGAAGGTGATGAAGTATCAGGAAGAGTGTCAGAAAGGGAAGGGTCTGGAGGAGAGCACTGTTGTGACAAGGGATTCACGTGAGCATTCAGGTGGGAGCAGTAAGGATATTGGGGAACAAAGAGGGGATAGTACAGATGATGAAGGAGAGGATGGGGCGTATCGGGAGATTGTAGGAAGAAGGGGGGTAGGGGGAACCTGAGAAGCAGGATGGATATCAGCAAATATTTTAAATGTAGAGGGAATAGGAACAGAGGGAGAGTGGATGAGGGAGTGGTTTTGGATTTCTTCAAGAGTTTCTGGAGGGGAGTTGGGTGAAGAGGACTGAGAAACAAAAGTTCTCTTGTGAGGAGGAGAAGAGGGGATAGACATCTGAGGAGCAGAGGAAGTGGAGGCTGTAGGAGATGTGGTAGGAGAAGATGGAGTGGAACGTTTAGGTTACCAGGTCAAACATGTAAACTGAGGAGGAGTAAGCATCAGGGAAGTGGAAGAGACTGGAGTATCTGGATTTAGACTGGAAAAGGAATTTGACTGGGGGAGAGGGGGGTTGAGGTAGGATGGTTTGGCATAGAGGGAGGCTGGCCTGAGATATCTTGAGAAGATGGAAGAAGAGTAGAGCAAAGGAGAGTTCTGGAATGGGTACATAGAGAGAAGCCTTGTTGCTGTACTTCCTGTCTGGCTTCATGTAGTAAGGCCAAGTTTGAATCTGAGAACTGCTATCTCTCATTCAAGGTTATAGGCAGGGCAGCTTCTATAAAATACATTGTGGGAGCCACCAAAATTGGCAAATGTTGTGAGTGAGCTGAGCAATTTGAACCTAAGAGGGTACTTTAGTATTAGTAGTCGGAGACACGGTCAAAGGAGAGGCAGGGTCGGGAAACCAACAAAATTGAATATAGATAGGCTAATTGATGAAGAAGCAAGCCTTAATGCCCCTAATAAGGTTAAAGAAGAGAGAGAGAGAGAGAGAGAGAGAGAGAGAGAGAGAGAGAGAGAGAGAGAGAGAGAGAGAGAGAGAGAGAGAGAGAGAGAGAGAAGAGAGAGAGAGAGAGAGAGAGAGAGAGAGAGAGAGAGAGAGAGAGAGAGAGAGAGAGAGAGAGAGAGAGAGAGAGGAGAGAGAAGAGAGAGATAGGAGAGAGAGAGAGAGAGAGAGAGAGAGAGAGAGAGGAGAGAGAGAAGAGAAGAGAGAAGAGAGAGAGAGAGAGAGAGAGAGAAGAGAGAGAGAGAAGAGAGAGAGAGAGAGAGAGAGAGAGAGAGAGAGAGAGAAGAGAGAGAGAGAGAGAGAAGAGAGAGAGAGAGAGAGAGAGAGAGAGAGAGAGACAAGACAGACAACAAGAGTTTTACAGTTATTTTCAAATGAATCATTTTGATCCGGTGAGAGAGAGACAGAAGAAAGAGAGAGAGACAGAAGAGAAACGACCAGACAGAAGGCCCCAGACAGAGAGAAAGAGAGAGAGAAAATAGATGGTAGAGAATGCAGAGAAAAGAGAACCAAAGAATTTAGACTGAGTTAGAGGAATATGAGAGAGAAATGGAGAAGTAAGTACAGAGACGAGCAGACGAGAGAGAGTTAGTATGAGTAATTAACACACACCTGTTAGACATAATAAGCTTATCAACATAGGTATGATGTGTATGAACGATGAAAGATGGAGATTGAAGAGATGAGAGGATAAGAGAGAAGAGGAGAAAACAAACACAGAGTTTATACATTGATTTTCATATTGAATCATTTGATCGGAATGCAGCTTTTGAAGATGAAGATCTTGTTCCAAGCGAGAAAGTGCTGCCATCGCACACTTCTCTGCCCCGTGGATTTTGGTGCAGAACTCTTATCTTCCCGCAAGCCAAGGATTTCAAGGTACTCTTCAATTCATTTTCCTGAAAAAAAAAAAACACAAAAAGAGGGAATAATAAATAAAACGATTTCTGCTCGTAAATTTTTTTTCATTTTAGCAGTGATTATGGTGCAAACCAAAAGAAGAATAACTGACTGTTACACAAGATAAAATTTAAAAGAAATACTGTAATTCTACTGAAAGACCTTTATAAATAGATAGTCCTCTTATCTCAACATTAGTTTTGCTCCCTAAAGCCAGATTCACTTACGTACACTTAGAAGTTTAAATATTGGTTTTTCTATAAAATCACCTTAAGCAGTGAACATCCACATTCCTGCTTACCCTAATATTGGTTCTGCTTTTGATCTCATCCAAGGTAAATACATCAGCATCATTGAACAAGAGTAATACGAGTGCTTGTAAGAGGGTCACGAGAAGATCCTTCCTGCCCCTAGGAAAAGCTGCTTTCAAATGGCAGTAGCTAAGTCTTGGTTCCACTGCGAAGGAGATGCAAAATATGATAACCGAGGGTATCAGTGATGATGATGTTAACGATAATAACAACAACAATCCTACTAATAACCATGTAATAAATAAGAATTTCAGTTCTTATAAAAAACTTGTCTAAAAGGTTTAAGGTTAAGAAATTGACACTAAAACTCTTAAAAAAAAATACATTGCAGTTCTCTATTTTGGGAACCACAACAATAACTTCTGGAGTACTTTTTCTTGAGTTTCCAAATCTTTCTGCTCACTTTAAGGCCTGTCTCAAAATTTCAGCATCCCAAAATACTTCTGTGAGATTTACTATATACCAAAATATCCAGTAAGTAAAATTTTGGGCTACTTTCCTTCCCCTTTCAAATGTTTGGCAAGCTGATAGTTAACAATAAAAAATATCATTAGCAAATAATGATTACAAACTGTTAAGAAATTAAATTACAAATACAAATAACTACACTAATAAAGTATAATTACAAATATAAAAACCATCCTTTCTGCTAGACGTGACTAAAAGGCTCCTTAAATCTGGTAGCTTCACAGCAACCACATGGACCAAATAAAGGAATTAGGCCTACATGACTGGCCGATCTGCCGGGTGCGCAGCTTGTAGGCCGAATGCACGTGAACACAAGTGTGCTGTGACAAGACTCTATGCCTCCCCTTAGCAAAATTATTTCTCTTCTGAAGTAAAAGTGTTTCTAGCTCTTTGTCATTTTCCAATGTCCATATTTGTCCTTTGATGGTAATAGATTGTCTTCATTGCACAGACTCCATATCATTCCTATAGGTAGTCCGTAATTCAGTGCAAGAAAAAGAAAAATATGTAACATTTTGTTATTTGAGTAATCAATTATTATTATTATTATTATCATTATTTTGGTAACATTCAATCTTTTGTAATATAACCTGTGCTGCCAGTCACAGCGGCCAGGATTAGAATGCTGAGCATTTAAATGGTGTCCTCCCTGGAGCTGGCCCTCTTCCAGTCACGGTTCAGGGATACTACATTCCACCACTTAAGTTACTGCCTGAGAATATAGAAGCCCCTTTCTAAATGCCAAATGAGTCTAATTATCCTCCAAAATGTTTATGTACTTGAGGTGAGTTTTTTTCATCACCCTGGTCTTCAACTGAAAAGCTCATGACAGCAAGTTCGCATCACCTGTCGCACAAGCTACAGTTAATTATCCATATGACAACATTTCATTTTTCATGATGTGAAGGTTATGTCATATACTTGAAAGGAGTGTAAACCATAATCTATGAATTTGGTTAAAAATTTTTTTTTTTTTGGGGGGGGGGGCCCCAAAAGGGGAGGGAAAATGTGCTTAAAAATTAGTCATCACGTCATAGATAAAAAATACTGGCAGGTGAGGTAGGTAGTGCCAGGAAGTGCCGTCATGAGAATTTTGGCTCAGGCTGAGGTGATCGAGGAAAGACTTGCCCATAAAGTGCACTAAGCTCTTGGAGAAGGGTGATTAAAATTAATACTCTAGTTAGCATAAGATATTAAGGGCTATTGCATTATAATATCCATCGATTTAACAAAGTGTGTGGAACAAACCATATCGTGTGGTAGACCCTAACTGGATATTACACACAGTTTCGGTGGAGGATGATATTTATCATCTACAGGTACCTATATAATGCTGCGTCTATGTACCAGCAGTAGCAGGTGTCTTACAGAAATATGAATATATTATTGGAAAGTTATTAAAAAATATATTAACCACAACATGACTTATATAACAATATTGCAACATACCTAGAGAGATAATTATTGAAGATATCAATGGATGCAAGGGTAAAAAACTATTATATCATCATTTGATGAGTAAGCACGTATAGAATGCAAAGTGATCAAATATTATGAACTCGCAAAAATGGGCGAAATAATAGCTAAAATGCTATATGCATATAATTATAAAGGAAAAAAATAACCATACAAAGAGTGAGAGTATTAGATCTCTGTCCCAAACACGTAGTATTGTGTGTCCACGTGTTTAATCCTACCATGCTATGAAAAAAAGATGAAATTAAGAAAGCTAATGAAACAAAAGAACAAAGATTAAGAAACGAAAGAGAAAAGAGTAAGATAAAAGAAATATATACACAGAATATATTATACACATATTTTATAATTATATATATTACCTAACACTTAATATATATATATTAATAAATAATACCCCGAAAAAATTATTTGTGATAATATAATATATAATATTAAATATGTATATATAATATGTGGAGATAGTATAATAGGTTTATTTATAATATATTGATAATAAATTTAACATATATAATTAATAAATATAATATAATATAATTATATATAACTATATTAAAATATAAATAATATATTATATATAATATTAATTAAACTGGAATATATAGACATTATGAATTATACGAAGTTAATATATATACAACAATATACTACACATATATAAATATAGATCATATGTGTATATAAATTATATATAATAATTATATAGTATTTATTATAGTATCACTATAATATATTAGTCAATGAGTGATATATAGATAGATGATAATACTGTAAAATACTCAAAAATAAATAATATATATATTATATTATTTATATATATATATATATACATTATATTAATATAATTTGATATGTTGTGGGTATTATATGTATTGTAGTTATGTTTGATATACATATTAAACAATAGTCATAGCATAGATATACATAACATATATATTTTTCATATATACTATACTATGCTATATATTTATATAAAAAAATTACGAAGATAATAAAATAACTATATTTATAATATATTTAGATAATATAACTATAGTATATATATTATATAATATATATAATATATCCTTATAAATATATTATATTATATATATATAACAATTGAAAAAAAATGATATATATATATATTATATATATATATATTATATACCTAATATACGTATATTATACTTTTCTATCTATATTATATATGATAAATATACATATACATAACATACATACAATATACCGATTATATATATACTTGGTATACTTTTATGATATATATATATTATTACGATATTATATTAATGTTGTTATACGAGTATCTATATATAATATATATATATTATATAGTGCGTGAGTAGTTGATAGTTTATATTAGTATATTATATATGAATGTGTTATAGTCTAATATTTATCTAGTAATATATATATATATATATATATAGTATATTAATAATATAATATATATAGTATATTATATAATTTGTGTTCTATAGGTATCTATATATTACCAGTATTATATATATTATATATAGTTATATACTATATATATATATGTATATATATATATACTATATAATATATATATACCCCTGTCCTATATATAAGTATGTTCCTACTCTACTATATCCCTCATTCTCTCTATATATCAGTATATATATCTAGAATGTCTTCATATACTGATATATATATATTCAGTAAATTATATATATCAATTATATATAGATAATATATATATCTATAATATATATATATATATTATATATATATATATAATTATAATATATATAATATATATATATATAATATATATAATATAAATAATATATATATAATATATATATAGTATATATACTTAAAATATATAATGTCATCCCTTCATCACACATCACCCACACCACACACACACACCCATCCTATACACACACACACACACACACACACACACACTAACACTATTCACTACACACAACTGCCTTACACATCAACAAACTATATAATAAATACATACAAATATATATATACCCTCTCTCTCTCTTCCATATACTATCTATACTATCTACTCCCTATTATATACTCATCACCTTTTATCCTATTCTATCACTTAATTTCAACATATATATATATATATTATATTAGATTATGATATATAAAATATCTAAATATTATATATATATATATATAATATATATATATATTAAGAGTAAAGCAAATTGTGCTTGAGGTTAAAAGTATTATTTCCAGAGATGAATGCCTTGGGGCATCATAAAAGTTTAAAACAACTACTATTTAGTAACCATACCAAATCCACTCAGCATGATAAAGCCCACCAAAATCATATTCTACACATACAAGTACCTTCTCAAACTACACTTCTAATAAGATGACACAGCTAAATAATACTCACTCTTAACACAATCACTTACCACTAGTTTTCTGTTGTTGTGCTTCTTTTTATAGAAATCAGCGAAAACCTGCTGTGATAGTACCATACTTGAAGGCAACTTTAGCTCTGTCAAGAAGTGACTGGGCCAATAATCCTGTCTTAGCACATTTACGTAGATATCCAACAAAGTGTTTTTTGCATCCTTGTTCTGAAATATATAGCCGGCATAAGGAGGAAGTCTCCTTATAAAAGGGAAATGTACAAGTAACTTGGGAAGAACTATAGCTAGGGGAAAAATTGCTTTATGGGTAAAGATTTTTGGATGATATAGAGATCCAAAAAACAAATATAACAAATTTTCTGGGGTATCTATCTCTCTATGTACATACCAACATATACATATAACAATACACACATATATATTGATCAATATATATGCAAATGTAATACAAAAAGAAAGACATGAAAATGTTATTTTTTCATCTCCACAAAATTGCTTACTTCTTTGAAGTCGTACATCAAACTTTTTGATTCCACTGTATCATTGAAGACACCATCTACTTTCCTTGCAAAAGCTGCCCCATACTTCTCCTTTAGTTCATTCAACCTCTTAAAGTCATCTTCTATGTCTGGGGATTTGGACATAAGAAGCTTTTTGGTGAATCTCTGTCAATACAAAAACATATTGTTAGATGTGACCTTCACGCATTTTTTTCTTGCCCCTGTAGTTCAGTGAGGCAAGGGGGAAAAAAATGCTTCTAAAACATTCTAAAATATCCCATAATGCTAATGCCATTCAACTGCATCATAATCTTGTAAAACAGCTTGTATTCCTTGGAAAAAAAAAATCCAGAGAAATAAAATAAAATTGTTTTCAAACATGAGAACTTCAACTTACATAGATTTCAGATGCTCCACTGTCTTCGACTTTGCTAACTTTTAGAGGATGACCTTCCTCCTCATCTGCCTGCCTTTTCTTGGAGTGGTTAATCTCTTGATTCATGGCAGCACAATCGTCTGGGCCTTTGGAAATGTCTTCTAAGGGAGTGGTCATCTTGTGTGAGGATGTTGCTTCAACTTCTAAAGGAAAGTGATACTATATCTAGTATGAACATGTATGGTGAAAAGGATAAGGTATATCTAAACCAATTAGCTTTTGCCTCTATACCCTCCCTTTCTTCAACCATATTACTGAAATCCCTCCTGAAGTAATATCAAAAGCAAGATTGAAATCCCTCTCAGTAAAAAATCTTAAATCAATTGAAGAAATCATTGCCAAGGGTACCCACATGCTTAAGTATGTTGGAATCACATGATGATAATGATGGTACTGATTTGATTGATTCCCTAAACATGTAGATCATCATCGCTATCCTGCTGTGGAGTATTCTTTGTTTTCCTGGGTGCGTAAACTATTTTAGCCAACCTAAAGATTAACGATGCAAATCCCTACAGAGACATCACAAAACTCTAGTAATGGTGTTTAGTCATCCAAACCTCAAAACACTAAATCCTTAAGCCTTTTCCTACCTTCTTAATTTATTACCCTAAAGCAGCAAGGTGGCAAGACCCCCTTAACTCCAAATCTATTTGTTAGCATTTTTGTGCCAACTTATTGAAAACAGAAGTTTGAGGACTATGGCTGTATTGAGAAGTGGTGTTGTCATGACAGTCTGGATTCGTGTGATATTGCAAAACTAAATGATTTTTGTTCATTTGTCCAAAGTGAGAGTTATTACCCTAAGGCACTTCATATCTTGACCAGTTTATCATTATATTTCTTTTCACAATTTAATATATGCTATAGTGATTTAATGATAAATAGGAAGTAGGTGTCCATTTCCCAATCAATAATAGTCGATCATGAACAAATGTTTGTTCCTCTTGGGCGTACGTAATATATGACGCCTAGGGGGGTGTAGACCCCCTGCCGAAAGGAGTGAAACAGCACAATGATATATCACCATCATTATGTTATTATATTATATATTTACTGCTAAGTTTATACCAAAGAAGGAGGGGAGGGGGGGTTGTGAGTGTGGTAGATACCAGAAAGCTTAGACTGAATACCAAGACGAGTCCCTTGCTCTGAAACTCCCCATGCACGCTAGAGGATCGCCAGACTGTGGCCTGACGCTCAACGCAGGAGCCGACAAGTCCAACGAGTCGACAACCTGTTGATACAAATGACGCATTACCTGGTATATCGTAGTGGAAAAAAAAACCAAGGGAGCCACAGTACACTTTCACAAGACACAACCATTTTCGTATAAAATAATACTTCAACCCCAAATCAAAATATCTGAAACTAAGTGTCCATTAAATAGACAGGCAGAACCAATACCTGTAGATGCAGATACCATAACAGAAGCGTAGTTTAATGATACATGGGGCGACATAGCGACGCAGAAGAGTCTCTCGTCAACTAATGTAATATAATGTAAGTGCCTTGCAAATTAATACAGCATGCCCGTTACGCATAGTGCCAGGTTTAACCTTCCACCATGCGGATCCCGTATAAATATAATTAGGTTAAGAATCTATCGAGATCATAACACACAGGCCACAAAGTAGGACCTAAAAAGAATAAATAAAGCGGATAAAAAAGATAGACACTGATAAGTATTCTACACAATCTGATAATGCACAAATATCACGTCACCAAATACTGTTTTCGAAAAAGACAAGTATTAGCTATAAGTAAATAAAGTCAGGTAACAGTAGTGATCATGGTATATATGCATCTTGGACTGTATTGAAACACACATTACACATTACAACAAACAGCACTACACACACACACGTACAATCACGAACACTACACACACACTTCTTAACCTAACGCTTTCCACTTCTATTTATTCCCTAAACAGTGGCAAGACCCCCTAACTCAACTATTAGCATTCGTGCCAACTTATAGAAAACAGAAGTTGAGAACTATGGCTGTATGAGGGTGTTATGGACTTAGTCTGTGCGGTGATATGCAACTAATATTTTTGTCATTTCAAAGTAAATACAAGGCCACTCTATCTGTACCTATATTGTCTTTCACTATATTTCTTGTGATTTATGAGATGGTGGTGTCCATTTCCCCTTATCTCTGCATGTTCCTCTTGGTAACTTATACCCCTGGGGTGTAGACCCCTGCAGTGAATAGCACAATGATATATTACCATCATTATGTTATTAGTGTTATTATATTATTGCAAGTTTATCCCAAGAAGGGGGGGGGGGGTTGTGGGGTTAGTTACCAAAATCCTTGCGATCCAAGACGAGTCCCTGCTCTGAAAACTCCCAGGCCAACGTGAGGTTCGCCCTGTGGCCTGACGCAACGCAGGACGCAATCCCGTGTCACAACCTGTTTCATGCCATTACTTTATATCGTAAGTGACATTTCAAAGACACACCATTTCGTCTTACTTCAACTCAAATTCTCAATCTATAGCTAATGCAAATGCACATACCTTAAATCGTACCATAACAGAAGCTAATTATGTCATTGGCGACCCGCACGTTTCCCTCTTTCGTGTTTATATTTTCCTTGCACATTACACTGCGTTCGCATAAGCCGGATTCACATGCGGATTCTTAATTTTAGGGTTTTAGCTTCATAACAAAACACACATGACTAAAAAAAATAAGCGGATAAAAAGATAGACACGAAGATCTACACAAACTAAAATTGAAAAAGATCCAAACTATTGAAAAAGACATACTTGAATAATCAGGTAAAGTAGTGATCATGTATATATGCATCTGGATGTATGAAGACACACATTACACATTACACACACACACACACACACACACACACACACATATATATATATAATATATATATATATATATATATATATATATATATATACATATTATATATATATATATATATATATATATGTATATATATATATATGTATATATATATATGGTGTGTGTGTGTGTGTGTGTGTGTAATGTGTAATGTGTGTGTCTTCAGTATATATATATATATATATATATATATATATATATATATATATATATATATATAATATATAGATAGATAGATAGATAGATAGATAGATAGATAGATAGATAGATAGATAGATAGATAGATATATCGATGTTCGTCGATGGATGGACAGATAGCGCGTTAGTCGTTAGTCGGGGATATTCTAATTATAGGGCTGTAGGTTGGAAAAATAGGACTATTAAAGATAAGGGAATGAATAATTCAAGGACTTTTCAATGCTTTATTGGTTTAAAACAAAATTCACTGACTTTTCAAGACCTTTTTATCAGTATTTGAAAGTCCATGACTTCTCAAGAATTCAAGGACCGCTACGAACCATGATACACACACACACACAGACACACACACACACACACACACACACACACACACACACACACACACACACACACACACACACATATATATATATATATATATATATATATATATATATATATATATATATATATAGTAGGTGTGTTTGACAACAAACTCCAAGAATCATAAGCATTGTTGCAGATAAAAGCCAATCTTTGTTCATGTTTTGTAATTTCAATAGTTCTAACATTCTGATGGAATATCCTCAGTCGGTTTTCTCATCTATTGTAGAGATGTGTAAAATTAATTCAACCAATTACAGTCATTGTTACAGACCTACGTCTCCCCTCACGGTACAGTAATATAATTACTATACACAAGTATAGGTAATTATATTTTTTACCTCCAGACTTGCAGTGTACCAGTTGGAAATGTGGGCAACTGTACATATATATATATATATATATATATATATATATATATATATATATATATATATATATATACATATATATATATACATATGTGTATACACTGCACATATATATATGTATATATTAACGTACTTATAGCCTATATAGGTACTCTCTCTCTCCCAGTCCACGAGTTAATTTACCTGAGCAAGGGTATTCTAGCAGTAAACCAGAGATCCTCACGGAAGACTGCATGCCTAGAGTAGCCCTTGTTGTAGGTATATATAGAGAGGCCGTAGTCGAGCTGCAT